TCTCCTCCTCCTCCTCCTCGTCCTCTTCCTTCTCCTCCTCCTCCTCCTCCTCCCCCTCCTCCTCCTCCTCCTCCTCCTCCCCCCCCCCTCCCCCCCCCATCTTCCTTTCCCTGTTCCTCCTCCCCCCCCCTTTTTTGCTCCCCCCCCCTCCTCCTCCTACTTCTCCTCCCCCCCCTCCCCCTCAGATTCGCTGATGTTCTCAAGGGCGGTGCCCCCGCGCGGCATAGGCCGTAAGGCCTCACCAATATTACATGTACAATGTTTGACTCAGCGAAGCACCTCTTCGTCATCAAGGGCTATCGCAAGCCGACGCCTCGGCATGAAGTAAACGGGAACCAGGTGACGAGGGACGCCTCTAGTCGCGAACTCGGCCAACGTTTTGCAATGTTTCATGAAATCCTCGTCCAGCCAACGCGCCGAGCGGCGCGGATGTAGCATGCTGGATCGATCTGCCCAGTGCCATAGCCAGTGAAGCTTCGAGCACGCCGTGAAAAGCATCAACTCCTCTTCATCCGCAATCAACCCACATTGCGTATAGAACCCGAGAAACCTTTCAACGCTAGTACGGATGACCACGACGTCAGCGGGCGGCATGAACATTTCGCGTGCAGAACTTCCAACTAAATCTTTCATGTGACTCAATGATTCCAGCGCGTTCATCACAGGGCCATACAGAGAGCCGGCGCCAGCCATTTTATGCCACACGGTCATCAGCGGATCCACTAAACTCTTCACTTGGTGCCCACGCCCTTTGAGTTTAGGGTACTCCTTGTTCCAATTCTTTGTATCCACGAACATATTGATAATGATGTTACCGTAATTACAGCCGCCCTCGACTTGGATTGCTGACCACACGTCGAGCACGTTGCCCGCGTGGCTTCCTGACAACACGCGAAACACGAGAAGCCAGAGAGCGGAACCCAAAAAGTACGTGGCGACACCGAGCCAGAGCACGTGCAGCTCATCCGCCTCCAGATTCAAAACCGAAAGAAATCGAAACGCTTGGAATATTGGGTGCAAGCGATCCGCCTTGCGTCGTCGCCACTGCTGTCCACTGCACATATGTTTCTTCCAAGTGCAGCTGGCGCCGAAATTCATGGGATGCATCCCTTCTGCGCCGTGCCTGTGGCAGTCGTCGTGCTCGCACGGGCGATCGGCGTTGTAGTTGTTTAGTTTGAGTGCTTTCGCAAACCAATCAAGATCGCCTTTGATGCTCCAGATCACGCAAAAGAAATCGCCAGCTAGCCGCGCATGGCGAGAGCCCAAATAGGCCTCACTCGAACCTTCTGGAAATTCCACGTTGCGGTGATCTCGCGTGGGGAAGCACCCTCTATACAGACACTGAAAGGACCACATGATGATCGACCACGCAATGTTCATCGTCCGCCCAGTCTTGCAACCCTCGAATATGCTGAACATCAATTTCTTCTGCTTGGAAACCTTGCCTTTTGCAAACAATGATGACCAGGATATGTTATCCAATGACTCTGACGTCGCCCTCCCGCATGCCACAACTGGAATTCCGCCCCCATGTAACATGATAGGTATTGCTTTTTCCTTCCAGCCATGTATATTTTTCATTGGGTGGTCACGCAGTCTGGGATCTGCCCTAAGTTCAACATTCCCCCAAAAACCAACCAAGACCGATGCGTCTCCACCTGGCAACAAGAACGTCTCGACAAACATCTCAGGCCTTGGCTTGCGCATCCAGGCAAACATTTCATGCGGCAAAAGAAATGGCAGATCCGCTTCAGTTATGGCAGCTTCCCGCGCCTTGGCGCGGCAGTCCTTGACTTCGATTGGACGCAGGCACGCGCGCGGCAAGTCATATTCCCCCAGCCACGCCTCCAGGTCTCGTTTGCAACTCCCCTTGTGTTCGCCAGAGCAACCTCGAGAAGCAAGCATGGTCAACGTCTTCGACGCCCCATCCTCTGACAGCCCCTTATTGCGAAGAAGCCTCTGCTGATCGCGCAGCGCGATAGAAGCTTTCCGCTGCACCTCCGCCGCGCCGGTTTCTCCCCAAGCCCACTCCAGAATCAAAGACAAACCCTCTTCGCTGTCGAAACGCGCCCGTCTGCCTTCGGGCAGGGGAGGGAGCAGAGGGCACAAGGGGGATGAGCAGAAGAAAGGAAGGAGGGGGGAGGGCAGAGAAGGGATGAGGAGAAATGGGAACAAGTGAAACTGTGCGTTTCGGCATTGAGATAGCCTGCACGCTCGCTGGCAGCAAACTCGTCGATCTCCTGCAGTCGGGCACGTTTCTGCTGCCGCCCTGCCATTATTGAGCCCCCCTCCTTGAGGATAAACTGGCCACGGAATTGACGAAAAGGGGAGTCGCGGCAACATGTAGACCTTACAGCTTACAGTTTCGCAATGCACTTGCAACTGCTACCTTCTCTGCGTCAATGTGATGCAAGTGCCGTTATCCACATCGGTATTGTTGTTGTTGTTGTGGTTGTTGTTGTTGTTGGTGTTGTTGTTGCTGCTGCTGCTGTTGTTGTTGTTGTTTGAAAAGGCTCCGCCTCTTCCTCCTCCTCATCCTTCTCCTCCTCCTCATCCTCCTCGTCCTGCCTATCAAAACTGACTGATGTTACTGCCAGGGGGTTGTGAAGTACCGCCCCCCCCCCCCCATGCTCCCGATCAGAACTGATTGACGTCACTGCAAAAGGGAAGTAACGTACCATGCCATATCGCTCCCTTGCCGCCCTGCCCCCGATCAGAACCGACTGATGTCACTGCAAAGAGGCTGTGAAGTAACGTGCCCTCCCGTGCACCTAGCGTTATTACCGTTCCCGTTCCTCATCATCCTGTTTCTACCTCTTTCCTCCTCCTTCTCCGCTGGTTCGTGTTTTGGCCCTGGGGTGTCGTTGGTGTGTGGTTATGGTGTGGCGCTGGGGTGGCTGTTTGGTGGCTGTGTCTGATGTTGGCGCTGGGGTGGTTGGTGGTGGTCACTTCTGGTTTTGGCGCTGGGGTGGCTGGTGGTGTATGTTTATGGCGTTGGCGCTGGGGTGGCTGTTGGTGGCTGTTTCTGGTTTTGGCGCTGGGGTGGTTGTTGGTGGTTATTTCTGGTTGTGGCGCTGGGTTGCCTGTCGGTGTATGGTTATGGCGTTCGCGCTGGGGTGGCTGTTGGTGGCCGTTTCTGGTTTCGGCGCTGGGGTGGTTGTTGGAGGCTATTTCTGGTTTTGGCGTTGCGATGGGTGCTGGTGTATGTTTACGCCTTTGGAGCTGGGATGGTTATTGGTGGCTGTTTTCGCGGTTGCGGCGCTGTGGTGGTTATCGTTGGCTGTTTTCTGGTTTTGGCGTTGGGGTGGCGGCTGGTGTATGTTTATGGCGTTGGCGCTGGGGTGTCTGTTGATGGCTGTTTCTGGTTTTGGCGCTGGGGTGGTTGTTGATGGCTGTTTCTGGTTTTGGCGCTGGGGTGGTTGTTGGTGTATGTTTATGGCTGTGGCGCTGGGGTGGCTGTTGGTGGCTGTTTCTGGTTTTGGCGCTGGGGTGGTTATTGGTGGGTGTTTCTGGTTTGGGCGCTGGGGTGGTTATTGGCGGGTGTTTCTGGTTTGGGCGCTGGGGCGGAGGGAGCAACACATTTCGTTGCATCCGACATGCTTACAGGAGGAGGAGGAGGGGGAGGAGGAGGAGGAAGAGGAGGAGGAGGAGAAGGGGGACCAGGGAAAGCGGAGGAACAACTTGCAATGGTTCTTTTTTTGGGGGGGGTGGGGCGGGGGCGGTGCCTCATCGCCACGGCTGGACTTGACTCGGAATCCTGGTCGGAATACGCTGCAGGAGCGGTCCAGGGAACGAATTCGACGTGAATTGGCCATCCGATATGAAGCATTGGTGCAGGAAGGCGGCGATTGCATTTCTCCACGTCATGGGCACGGGCGGACTCCTTCGATGCGCCAGCCGAGCGCGCCACTTAGCCAGAGTGACAGAGAGGGGGAGGGAGAGATAGAAAGAGAGAGAGAGAGAGAGAGAGAGAGAGAGAGAGAGAGAGAGAGAGAGAGAGAGAGAAAAGGAGATAGAGAGAGAGGGCGCGCCGTTCGCGCACAGTGCTGCCTATGCTGCTCGCAGCACACACTACCCAGATGCGCTGAGAGATTCCTTCATGGAATCAGTTGAAACTGCCTGGAACATCTTCATAGCTACATTGTTGTAGCCCTTGTATATCATGTGTGCTTGGTCGAAGCTAACGAGGCTAACCTCCGAGAGAAAAATGAATCTTAAAGTTCGTTAGATGTATTCTAGATTTGTCTTAGAATCACTTCATACACGATTTGCATGTATCATGCTAATACATGTGTAATACTACCCTATTAAAGGTATGTTAGAATTATGTTAGATTCATCTTAGATTCATCTTAGATCCATCTCAGCATCATCTTAGATTTGCCTTAGATTTATGTTAGATTTATCTTAGACTTATCCTAGATGTATATTAGATTGAAAATCTGTGACGAATCTAACATAAATCTAGTATAAATCTAATTTAAATCGAATATGAATATATGAATAATCTAAGACAAATCTAATACAAATCTAATATATATTTACTATATTTCTAAGATGTCCGGGAGGGTCGTCCGGAGGCGTCATCTCCGGAGAGTTCCGGACTCCCCCTTCTCATCCTCAGGATGCGGGGGGCAAATTTGGGGAGATCAGGCTCGGAGCTCCCAATTGTTCCCCGCCGTCGTCATCGTCGTCGTCCTCGCCGTCGTCGTCGTCGTCGTCGTCCTCGCCGTCGTCGTCGTCGTAGTCGTCGTCGTCGTCGCCGTCGGCGTCGTCGTCGTCGTCCTCGTCGTCGGCGTCGTCGTCGTCGTCGTTTGGAAAAAAAACCGTCGACGGTTTTTTTCCAAACGACGACGACGACTATTACTACTATCATTATACCTATATACCTATTACTACTAGCGTGGGGACCCTCGTCCTCCTCATGACCCTCGGTCTAGTAATTATTATTCTACCTATTACTACTAACAGGCTGCAGCGCTGGCAAACTTCGGAACACGCTCACTTCCCCTTGCTCGTCTTAGCGAGCTTGGAGCCGCTGGAGCCTCCACCGCCCTGGTTGGACTTCCTCTTCTCCGTTTTGATCAGGTTGGCGCACTGGGAGTGCATTGCCATGAGATCCTCGTAGCATTTCCCTGCCGCAATCAACGCCTCCTCCGCCTGGAGTTTGGTGATCTCGCCAATCGGCGCCATGAGGTACTCAGTGACCTTCCCCCCAGGAGCAGCAGCCTTCTTCAGCAACTCCATCGTATCCTTGGCGAGCTTCCTGGAAACATCAGCTTTGGCGCAGCTCATCACCTCGGGCCCCATGCGCTTGAGCGCCAGCGTGACGGTGGTCATGGCGTCGCTGCAGTTCTGGAGCAACGTGTAGTCGTTCTGGTCGGCCCTCGTGTCGTGGAGCGCCTTGCGAGTGCTTTTGTTCTCGGTCCTCATTGGCTCCCAGGTCGGGGGCTCCAGCTCCTCAAGCATGAAGTCGGCCATGCCACCTCGGAACAGCTTGGCACCCTTCGGGTTGAACGTCTCCTTCGCGACCCGCTTGTTCGAGGTCACCTTGGACGTCCTCCTGACTGCAGTATCGTGCGCGCACTTGCCTGGCTCGTCTGGGTCTGACCATACTTCACCATCCTGTTTTGCAGCCTCAAACTCGGACGACCTTCCATTGAATATAGTGTTGGTCATGATCCGCTTCGAAAGGGAAGTGACCGAGGTACTGTCCTCGCGAGGGAATCAAAATGCACTCCCTCCTCCTCCTCCTCCTCCTCCTCCTCCTCCTCTTGCTCCCCCTCCTTCTCCTCCTCCTCCTCCTACTATTCCCCCTCCTCCTCCTCCTCCTCCTCCCCCTTTCCTGTCCCTCATCTTCCTCCTCGTCGCATCTACTTCCTGACAAACAAAAGGCGCCCAAGGGTTTCGGTGCCGATCGAAACGCAATGGGAAAGGCTAAGCCTCCGAAACACAACCAGTGCTAATTAAATTATGACAGCGCGGGGCTGTGGAGGCGCAATTCAATCAACAATATCCTTGTCAACCTTCTCGCGCGTCACGATCCTGCTCAGCATCATCTCGTCGGGCTTGATCGAGCTGCCGTAGCCCGCGTCCCTGGGAACAACTGCGTTGATTATCTCGTTGGCCATGCGCTCCTTGCCTGGGATCTTGCACTCCTTGCTCTTCAGGTGGTCGAAGCGATTGACGAGGTCGAGCGGGATCGACTCGCGGGACATCTTGAAGACGTGGCGCTGGGCCAAGCTAGTCTGCCTCTGGCCAGGGGTCCCTTCCTCGACTCGCTGGCCGTCTTCTGTATCGGGCGAGAACCTGGCAGGGGTAGCCTTCGATGTGCCAGCGGCCGCCATCCTCCAGTCGGGCGCATCCCCCTCCTCAGTCGCGGTAGCAGGGCGCTTGAGCGCAGACGCGGGGCGCCTGAGCTCCATCCCAGAAGCCGTTCGGGAGTGCACGCGAGCTCGCCTTGAAGGACGCTTGGAATCTTGCACCTTGATCCAGAACAGCTATGACAAAATACGACCTCCACCTCGAAGCATTCAGTGACACCTCACAAGGGAAGTGTATGTGCGTGCGTCTGTGCGCGTGAGTGCGTCTGCGTGTGTGAATGTGTGTGTGTGTGCGCGTTCGTGCGTGCGTGTGTGTGTGTGTGTGTGCGTGTGTGTGTGTGCGTGTGTGTGTGCGTGTGCGTGCGTGGCTTGCGTGTGCGTGTGTGCGTGTGTGTTCGTGTGTGCGAGTGTGTGCGTGTGTGCGCGCGTGTGTGTGTGTGTGTGTGTGTGTGTGCGCGTGTGCGTGTGTGTGTGTGCATGTGTGTGTGTGCGTGCGTGCGTGCGTGCGTGCGTGCGTGCGCGCGCGTGCGCGCGCGTGCTTGTGCGTGTCTCAACAACGCTGCCACCTGAATTCAATGCAAACGCAATTCTGGGCTGGATGCGACCTCGCATCATGACAGCAGCGCTATGGGGACCTCAAATAAGTCTAAGCTGAACCATACGTCCCAGATATACATTACATACATCTAATATAAAGTTGGTATAAATCCTGTAGAAAAACAAGATTGTATACACCGATCGTAATCCATAGAACATGCTATGTAAGTCTGAAGTGAGTCTGACACCGACTGGATCTGCACGTGGCGTGAATGCGATATGGACGTTCGCTGCTTGGCACGATCTCAGCAACATTGCCATCTGAACCCCGCGCACTAGCAAACCCAGGAGGAGGAGGAGGAGAGGGAGGAGATGGACATATCACATGCCGACGACAAATCATCGGGATCACGGTCTTGTGAGGAGTAGCACAACGAGGTCCAACGGTTAGCATCGCTCCACCCCTTAAGCGATATGGCTGCCTCGAAAAAACATTGTGTTACCGCGTAACAGACTAAACCCTGGCTCACAAGAACTCACTTGGCACCACTCGATGCCGCATCTCGCATCTGAAGTGCCTCGGTCTTCGTCATCGGGTGTTTCTTCATCTCGGCTATAATCTTACCCATGGTCCCGAATAGCTTGGAATTTGTGGTAGAGAAGACGCGCACACGCTTGCCATTTTCATCGAAGGCGGTCAGCTCGCACCTGGGAAGCGTCTCGGAGGTCGGGCCAGCTTTGCGAGGGCCCCTCAGCTTCGAAACCGAATCTGGCGAGCCCTTTGCGGCACGCCCCACCTTCGGCGGGGTTTTGGTAATATGTGGGGTAGGCGGTGGGCTCTTCATCGAGCTCTTCTTCTGTTTCGTCTTCGTGTTGGCCTGGTCGCGAGCCTCGGGTGGACCCCGCCCCCCATCAGCAGACAGCGCCCCCCTTGCGACGAATGGCACCTGGCATTAGAACAAAGACACATGATAACATGACTTTAAGTAAAACGAGGGCGCAAATGCTGATAGGAGACAGGGTACACTCTGCATTTTCACATGCTGGCCTCCAGCACCCTCTGCCTGCGCGCCTGAGTCCTGTCGGCAAGGAACGCGCTGCCCCCGACAGAGCCACTGAACACGCCGAGCTTGTCGTAGGAGCTGTCGGCTGGCGTGCCGCCGCCATCTGGGCCCTCGGAGTCCGCGCCCAAGCCCTCGTCGTCTGCCATGTCTCCCGTGTGGTCGACAGCAGGCGGCTCCTTCATCGGCACGTCCAGCTTGACGGTTGGCGTAGCAAACATCTTCTTGAAGTGAGATAGAAGGGCTGAACGAGAATCTGCTGACGGCGCTAGGGCTGGCCAAGAATCTGGTGGCGGGGCTGGTTGCATGTCCTCGACTGCGGTTGCACAGTCGCTGTCCTTGTCGCGCAAGGGCATCGGGACTGTGGAAGCAGCGTCCGAAACGTCCTCCAAGCCTTTCAACGAAACTTGATCGGTCATTGTTGAAATCATGATGTTATCTGCTCCTGGTGCTTGGCTCCTGAAATTGTTAGTTTTCGGGTAGCGGCGGCGCCCATTGGGCGTTGTTGTAGCCGCTATGTCCTCCATCTTCAGAAGCCTCAACATAGAAAACACCAAACGGATATGTTCTGTAACATCTGCCACCCAGCGATCCAATGAATAACATGTTGGCATCCGTTCGTCCTTCTTTCATCGTCCTGAGAACTCCCGACTGGATAGACACAGTTATTAAACCCAATACTCAAGAACGAATTGAGGAGTGGCCCGAGGAAACAAACCATCTTTGGAGTGACAGCGTGCGTCGCGTGAGCAAGGCTTCCAAGCAGATCTGACCATGCGCGACCTGCTTCGAACTCATCAACAACGGTTGTTACCGTTTCCTGGTCCACGTTTGGGTTTGGGGACTCGCGAGGCTTGCGAGACATGCCGAGTCGCCTTTGAATCGTTTGAGCCAAACTGGCTGCGGGGCCTCTTGGGGGGCCTTTCTGGGACTCTGTGACCTCTCTGGGGCCTCTCTGGGACTTATCCAGGACCTCTCTAGGGCCTCTGTTGGGGCCTATGTTGGATTTCGCTGGGACCTCTCTGGGGACCTCTCTAAGACCTCTCTGTGGCCTCTCTGGACGTTCTGGGACTCTGGGACCTCCTTGGTACCTCTCCAAAGCGGAGCCCACTTGAAACGTAACACGCATCTACGTCGAACTGCTTACGCGTATAACACACTACGTTCCCCTGCTCTTCTAAACGCTACATGGGCAACGTGGCCCCGAATAACTCCAACATACATGTGAAACGATTGCACTATACATCTTACTTACAATGTAATGTGGTCGCGTTACACTATGATCTAGCATATATATATATAACATAAATCTGATAGGAATCTAACATAAATCTAACATAACTCTAATATAAATCTGAAATAACTTTATAATCCTAACACTAGTACTGGAACGTTATTCTAGTATAAATCACATGTAAATCTAAGATAAATATAAGATAAATCTAAGATGCATATAAGAAAAATCTAAGATAAATCTAAGATAAATCTAAGATACATCTAAGAAGATGCACGTGCTGCACTTAACGAAACGTTAAGTTGACTTTATAGATAAAGTTAAATATAAGTATGCACTTATAGATAATATTCGCGCACTTACTGATAGGTGCATGCATTTATAGATAAGGTTGAACCTTAAAATTCAGGGGCGCTGATGCATATGGGACGCGACTGCCGGCGCGGACCGCGGCGGCCGCGCGGAGCTCGAAGCTCGATCCACGCGGGGCGCTGATCGCCGAATCCTGAGACTGCAGGGGCGCATGCCCAGCCCGGCAACTGCGCGTCGGTAGGCGGGGCCGCGGGCGCGGCGGCTCGCGCGCTGAGGTCGCCGACGCAAGCGCGAGCCTGGGGCTGCCGGGAACGCGCCGCCCACTCGCGCCCACCGTCGCGGCGTTGGTTGCGGTGGTGCTACACTGAATTAAGCTGCTGGATCTGCCGATGCCTGCGCCGCTCCCGGGGCTGCGGCGGGCGGCGCTGCCCCCCCCGCCGCCGCCCCGCGGGCCGGCGACAAATTCGCGAGGCTCGCGGGCCGTGGAGAGCCGCGCGCGCAGCTCGCGAGCGAGCTGCGCCATCTCCCGCCGCAGTCGCCGCAGTTCGGCGTCGCGCGGGTCGGGGGGCCGAAGACGAGGATGATGACCCGCCTGCCTGGCCCAATGGACGCGGCCAACTCGTTGCCAGAGCCGTCTGGCGACGCGCGCGGAGCGGCTGCAGGCGCCGCCGGCCGCGCGCCGCTGGAGTCGGCCGCCCGCCGTTCCAGCGCTCTGCGCGGGATCGCCTTCCCTGGGGCCCCGGGGCCGAGGCGCCCCCGGCCATCCACGCGGCGCGCGCCCACTGCAAGGGCCGCCGCTCGAAAGGGCGCCCGACGGCCCCCGATGCGCCGGGGGCGCAAGTGGCGAGGGCGCAGGTAGCGACGGCAGCGCTGGGGCGCAGGGGCCACGGAAGAAAGCGCCCCTGGCTGCGGCGCCGGGGGCAGAAGCGCACGAGGTGCTCCTCGCAATCGCACTCGCGGTATCTCAGACGCGCCCCACCAACCAGCGGGTTGCCGCGGCGGACCTTGCCCCTGCCTCTGCTGTTCCCGAGGCCCACCGAAGCCCCCCGAGGGTCGCTTTTGGACATGTCGGCCACGACGGCGCGTCAGCCTGCACCTTGGCGCGTGCCCTTTCGTTCGATGGCCCTCCGCGCGCGGCGCGCGGGCTCACGGTCGCCGAAGCTGCGCCGGCGCGCTCTGGCGCGGTCGCAGGCCGCGCTGTCCCGCGGGAGCGTCGCGTTGCTCGGAGCCGTCTGCGGAGGCGTCTTCTGGGAATGCCCCCCTCGCTAGTGACGCCGCGCCGGCGTTGCCGACGGCGGCTGATGCAGGCGGGCTAGGTGCCGATCCCACTGCGGCTGGACCCATGCCATCTCAGCTCGATCTGGCCACGGCGCCACAGGCACCCTGATTTTGATGTTGAGCGGGCGCGCCCGTAAGGAAGGCGCGCAGTTGGGCAGAGTGGACCGCCGAGGCGAGGTTGCCTGGCGACCTCTCGACCACGTGCTCGAAGTTCCGCTGCTGGCCCGCCATTTGCACGAGCTGCTAGGCGTTCGCGGGGTTGGCCATGTCGCGGCGCCGCGAGATCAAGGCCCGCTGGATGTTCGACGCGCCATCGGCGCGCGCAGCAGGAAGAAGCTGAGGCCCTCGTAGCCGATCATGAGTTGATCAGCTGGCTGCGCCTGGTTGCGGATGATATCGAAAGTTGCGAGGAGGTTGCTGGCGCGCTCCTCAACAGTCCGTTGAAGCCAATGAGTGCTGACGCAGCCGAAGTACGCTCCTCCTCGCCCTGTTGACCCCACCGTTCGAAACAAACTGTGCATCAGGAAGGTCATCGGCGGCCCTTGGTTGCCGCTGCTGGGACCTCCCTGGATCAGGACAGCCAATGGCTATTCGTCCGCGCACTCGCGCGCCGTCCGGGTGAGGCGCGACGAAACGTAGACCGCCCTGCGAAACTCCTCGAGATCTGAGTTCGCCACTGACCCAATCATCACCTCGCGTGCCAATCTCTCGACATGCACTCGAGCTTGCTGCTCGGGCCCCCAGGTGCGGAGTGGTCGCACGTTGCCGCCGCCGCCGCCTGCGCCACTGCAGGAGAGGCAGCCGGCGATGGTTATCATGCCCACCCCGATGGCCTTCCACCCGGAGTGAGGTTCCATCCGCGTGTCGTAGGCGCTGGAGGCCAGCGATCCACCAGCGGCGCTGCTCGGGAAGTGCGCCTCCGAGCCGCCGTGGATACTTGCCCCAGATGTGTTCCTCCTCGTCTGCGAACTGGGCGTCTGTTGCTGTCATGGGCTTGTAGAACTCTCGCTACTCGGAGCATTCCCTGACACAATCAGGGGCGTGCTCCTCGCACGTCGCGTCGTCACTGTATCGAACACCGCCAACTGCACGATCGTCGGGAGGACTGCGATTCGGGACCCAGTCCTGCAAGGCTGTTGGGGATGTGTGGGCAAGGTGAAAAGTCGTGTACCAAGACATCGAAGGGTTCTCCTGTCCTTCGGATTTCTGGTGGCACAATCGCCAGACCCTCCATTGCACCCCCTCTCTTCTTTGCCTGCTCTCCCCTGGGCTCTCGTGACACAACCACCAGAAGCTCAGGAGCCTTTAGCGAGACCCTAAATGTGAAGTCGAACGGCTGTCTGACACCTGCGTCTACACCCGCAGGCGGACGAACAGACGGCGCAGGGTCGCTGCGAACTGCGCTAACACAGTCAGCGCAAGCCCGGGAAGATCGCTGAGAGCTCCGCCGCCGCCGTCGGCGCGGCTGGGGTCCTCGTAGGTATCGCTGAAAGCCTTGTCGGATAGATGTGCGCCGTCCCCATCACTTCTCCTGGCGGACGGGCGGGCACTGTCCCGACGGGCCCGAAGGCGACGTCCCCTGCCACGGTGATCCGGAAGACGCTCGCGAAGGCGACGAAGGCAGGTGAACTGTGGGAGGATGCAGAGCAGCATGAGCAGCGATGAGTGAAGGCGGCGGAAAGCATGATCCATGGCCATCGAGACGCGGCAGGACATGGCGGCCGTGGTATTTGGGCCGAAACTCCGCTACCAACCGGAGAAGTGGATGTGGGAAGATAGGGATGAAGGATCGGGTGATTCGCATAGCGGGATGTAAGGGTGTCAAGAGCGCGTCCAAGACGGGCCCCTTACCTGGCCAGGCTATGAATGGCCGCGGAAGCAAGGCAGTGAGGGCACAGACAAGAACGGGGTGAGATAGGCAGGACTACTGTTTGAGTAGAGGGAGGAATGAGAAGAGCGAGAGGGGGAGAAAGAAGAAGAGAGAGAGAGAGAGTGAGAGAGGGAGGGAGAAAGAGAGAGAGAGAGAGAGGGAGAGCAAGCAATAGAAGGGGCGGGTACGGAGAAGAAGCAGGAGGTCAGAAGGAGGGGGGGCAACGAGAGAGGAGAAATACAGTGCTGATGCTCGCTAGCCCTGCGTATACCCCTCCCTGCTCATCCCCCCGATGCTACTCACTCCTCCTTCCCTTCCTCCGCCCCCTCATCCTCTCACCCTCCTCCTCCGCCATCTTCAATGGTCGTTCCTTCTCGTCCCTGCTCCTCATGGCCCTTCGGACGGCCACTCGCTCCCGACCGGTATCCCTGAAGCCTCGGGAGGACCTGGAACATGTAACCTAGCCCTCCAGACAAGCCAGCAGAAGCAATATCGTGCTACACCCATCTAGCGCCTCTCACCCTGCAGTGGCAAAGAGAGACAGGAAACAGGACAGACAGGAGGCGATGGGAAAGATGAGACGATCAACCAACTGTCCATTCACAATCTTTTCCAGAGCAGTTCGCTGCGCAAACTGAAAAGGTGCTTTGAAGACTGTGGTCCAGCACGCGTGCGCACACCCCGTCTTTGCCAACCCCTAGGGCTGGGAGGGTGGGCGCCAGAACTCCTTGAGCCGCAGGGGCCGCGGAAGACGCAGGCATGGCACAGGGGCCCCGAGGACCTTCACTATCTTCCGCTCTGAGAGGCTCCTTGAGGTGTCGCAAAAACGTTTATAAACCAGGCATGCTACACCCATCTAGCGCCTCTCACCCTGCAGTGGCAAAGAGAGACAGGAAACAGGACAGACAGGAGGCGATGGGAAAGATGAGACGATCAACCAACTGTCCATTCACAATCTTTTCCAGAGCAGTTCGCTGCGCAAACTGAAAAGGTGCTTTGAAGACTGTGGTCCAGCACGCGTGCGCACACCCCGTCTTTGCCAACCCCATACCAACAAGACCCATACTTGTACCATGGCAGGCCTGTCGGGGCGGGTCGGGAGGGGCGAAGCGCGACAGTCTGCAACTGAAAGAAAGAAACTAGAACGGGCAGGAAGGCTCACATCACGCTGGGCGTCTGTGCTTCCGCAGGGCCACCCGAAGTTTCCCTGGGAGGGCAGGGCCCAGGCGAAGGCTTCTCGACAAGAATAGCTGAGAGAACTTAGACCGGACTCGAAGGAGGGTGCCCGCCTTCTCGTATCGACGCACACTTTCCCGCGCCTTCCAGCGGCCACGGCGCTGGATTGAGCGTAGGTCCTCAAACTTTTCTAGTGCGTCGCGGCTGGCGCCGCCATGACGAAGGCAGTGCGGTGTCCACGTCACAGGCAGCTGCAGGCGACGGCAGGCGGCGCTGACGGCAGCCTCCAGCTGCGCGAGCGTCAAACCTGCAAAGAGCGGCCCTGGGCCCGCACGTGCCAGCAAGATATCGAGAATGCTGCCTACGAAGCCCTGGCCCTTGGTGGCACTGCCCAAGAAGACGGTGTCATCGAACGTGTTAGTCTTCGAGGGGATTGGCTGTGTCGCTGGGGCTACTGTCACCGCCCACAGCCTCTGGGGTCCAGAGCGTGGCGGGCGCAAGACATCGGCGCCACGCAAGCCCAGCGCCTCGGACGGCCGCAAGTAGCCGTCGAAGGCCACGGGCAGCAGCGCTCCTGCGAGCGTGGACTGGAAGTCGCGCCCGATGAGATCGTCCGCGACGGCCAGCACTGCCTCCCAGACCGCGGGCTCGCGGCTTCCAGGTGGCTCGAGACGGTCCCAGCCTTTGAGGGCCTGCTTGGCCTTAGGGAAGGCGTCACCCTTGGTTGCCCAGCCCTGCTGCCAGGCCAGCCCGTAGAGGCACCAGCGGGCGTTGGCTTTGGCCTCGCCGCCGAGGAAGAGCGACTCGAAGTAGCGTTCCAGAGTGGTGTCGGCCGCCCGCGGGTCTGAGAGGCTCCCCCCGGTACAGGCGACAAAGTCGTGGAGCCCCTCCACGCAGTCGGAGTAGCGTGCCGCGGTTGCCTGGCGCACTGTGGCCCGCCGCAAGAAGCCGGGCGCCTGCTCTCGCGGCTCCGCCCGAGCTCGACGACCGCGGCCGCGCGCCCTAGTCCCAGCGTCTCTGGCAGCCGTGCCACGGCAGCCGGTACCTGAGCGGGCAGTGCGGGGCGTCGACTGCGACGCTGGGGCAGCCACACGCGGACGCCAGCTGTCGCTCCCAGCGGCGCTCGAGGTAGGCCTCCCCGTCTGGCCTTGCGGCCGCTGGGGGCGCCAGGAGCTGGGCGGCGCCGGCATAGGCGCGGCACAGGCTGGGCGGATAGGCAGCAGCTAGACTGGTCTTCCACTCCCAGCGTCCCTTCACCAAAACCTTGCCCTGCAGAACTTCGCAATGCCGACGGCACCTGCACTCGCGGGCCAGGGAGGCGAACAGCGGGTGGGAGGCCGCAAGCCTCGTAGGCTTCTGAAAGGGCGTCCCGAAGCGGCACTGGCACAGGTCGACCAACGTTGAAGCTGACGCCCGAAGCGCCCTCGCCAGAGGTCTCCACGTCCAGAGGCGCGACCGCTGAGGATTCTCGAGAGTGAAGTGGACCCCGGATCGTCGGCACTCCTGGATCAGGCGAACTGTGAAGCGAGCCGCGGCCAGTCCTCCCGCGGGTTCTGCGGTGCCCGAAGAACGTGCGATCGACCACCGCGTGCACGGGGTCGCAAGATGCATGAGCCAAATGGCGCCGGAGCGGACCCACCCGATGACAACCTTCTGGACCTTCGGGTCCGTGATGTCGAACTGCGGGCCCTTCGCGAGGTCCATGGGAGCCCCTGCACGCAGCCCAGCCTCCAAGATGGCCCCCGTCAGGTACCCCTTGCCCGAGAAGATCTCCAGGAAGAAGCGCCGGCCCCGTCGAGGCCTCTGTCCGACCTGACCTCCAAGACACGCTGGAGCGGGAGGAGGAGTGAGACCTGGTGGAGGACGTAGTTCGGGAAGGTGCCTTGGAACGTCGTGCCTGAACCTGGGTGGCGAAACTTCTTGATATCCAAGACGCTCGGGGACAGGTGGTAGTTCCAGACCAGGTGGGGAACGTGATCCAGGAAGAAGCCCCGTAGCCCGATGACTGGCTCTCGTTGATGGGTGCCCTGGAGGTACCTCGTTGGAGCTCCCGGTAGAAGGCTTTTTCAGAACAGGGATAGAGAGGCGGTCGGGAGGGCGTCCGGACGGAAGTCGGCCGCGCGGCCCTCGCCACACCTGGCCGGGCTGCAACAGCCCGCGGTCCGCCGCCCGACTCATGTAGTCCGCCGCGTTCCGCACCCCCTCGACGTGCCGTTGCCGCCACACGATGCCGGAGGCCAGCTGCAGCGCGGCCGCCCGCCGGCACTGTGCGAGGAGCTCCCTGCTGGCCGCGCGGCCCTTCTCGAAGGCCAAGACCGAGCCCATGTTGTCCCCTGCGGAGAGGAGCTCCGTGTCGTGGTACGGCGGATGACTGGCAGCTCGAGCCAGGCCCATCAGCCCGCAGCGCGCCTCGTAGTCGTGGATGCGGCTCGCATCCCGCCAGGCCCCAGCGACGACCAGCTCCCAGCGCCCGGGGTCGACGAAGTCGTCGGGCAGCGGCGGTGGTCGCCAGCCCGAGTCGACCTCGACTCGGCAGCGCTCCGGCACGGGCCCGCGGGCACGGCTCCGCTCGAGTAGCCCGTCCCACCAGCCCTCGCCAGCGTCGCCGATCGCCATGGAGCCCTTGAAGCCGTCGTGCTCGCGCTCCACGAACTTCTCCCGACGGCTGAAGCGAGCTCGCTCCCGAAAGCGGCAGAGATCGCGAACCTCCCCGGGCCTCGCATCGGTCTCCAAGAGTGCGTAGCCCTTCATGGAAGCGTCCGTCATGAAGGCGACGGGGCAAGGGGGCAACCCCCAGCGCCCCACCGCCATGAAGAGCAGCGACCTGGCGACCTTCAGCTCGTGCAGCGCGGGCGTCGGCAGCTCGCGGATCGTGCCGAGGTCCTGCTGGACAAAGTCGTACAAGACCCGGAAGATCGAGAGCCCTGGTCTCATCAGCTGGAAGAAGGACACCAGGTGGCCCAGAACAGCACGAATCTGCCAACCCGCGGCCTTGCGCCATCTCAGAAGAAAGGTCAAGCCCCCGTGCAGCCGCCAGAGGCGCTTCGGCTTGGGACGAACCAGGCCCTGCACGCCATCGACGATAACGCCCAGGATCTCGACCTCGATGCCCGCGTCCTGTCTCTCGTGCCACTTCAAACCCAGCTGGTCGAGAGCCGTCGTCATGCGCTCGAGTCGGTCCTGCACGAGGTCCTGCTCGATACCGATGATGTTGGCGTTGTCGACGTAGGGTAGATCCCCGACCATCCCCGGCTCCAGCTGGGCCGCTGGCGCCTTGTCCAGCACCATAGCGTCGCGAGGACCTGCCGAGGATCGCATCACCTGAGCCAGCGTCTCGTGGCAGATCCACAACGCCCAGGACCAGCCCATCGCCAGTCCGCCGTAGGCCGGCCACACGTAGTCGTCCGGGGCGACGTCCACGAAGGCCTTCGCGTCGCCGTCGTAGACCTGGTACACGCCTAGGTCCTTCGCCTGGACCCCCGGCATGTCGAACACGAACCACTCGGACAGGTGCGGGATCTTGAACTGGTGGAAGCCGTCCTTCAGGTCGACCGTGGCCGCGTACAGAGCGGCCTCGTCCGACTTCATCGAGCAGCGCTGTCGCCAGTCGGCCCCAACCTGCACCGACGCGAGCGCCTCCACTGAAGCCATGCTGGTCTGAGGGGGCAGCCGATGGTACTGGTTGGGCTGCCGGCCGTCCACGATCATGCGGAGGCGATCCCCTTTCTTCTCGACAAAGAACAGCCCCACCGTGGCCTTCTTCCGACGAGTAGCCACCACGATCCCCATGTCGGCAAGACGCTTCAGCAGCGCGAGCAGGCGCGGGCGGTTGGCGCGGACCCTCGGGTTCAGAAGAGGATCCCAGTACGGCTCGATGTGGGGCTCGTCGGCGAGCTCGTCGGAGTGTCGCTCCAGGAACCTCTCGGGCTCCATCAAAACTTGTCGAACGTGATCTGGGACGAGGTCGAGCGCCTCCCGAGGCTCCACCGAGCCCTGCAAGAGGGAGACCTTGTCCTGAACGAAGGGCCGAACCGTGAGCCGACCCTCCTCGGAGTAGATGTTGCTGGACTTGAGAAGCTCCTGAAAGGCCTCTCGAGGCCGAGCGTCGGGCGGAGGCGGACCATGTCGAGCCACCGATCGAATCACTCGGCCAAGCGCGGACTCCTGCGAAGGGGTCAGCGTCGAAGTCTGGCGCACCCGTCCAGGCTGGAGGGTGTGTGACGCTCGAGCGGCGGCCAGCGCGTTCAGGCTCGAGAAGATGTCCTCGGTCGCCTGGCGCGTCCAGTCCCGCTTCGTGCGACGGCGAGCGGCGCGGCGGCCCGCCGGGCGCTCTCGGCTGGTCTCCTCGAAGAAGTCCGAGGGCAGCACCAGGGGGAAGGGGTCGGACGCCATGTCGACGACGTGCCCTTCGAGACAAAACTGTGAACAAAAATGTGGCGGCCGCAGAGCTGGTCCTTGGCCGCCTGGAGCCCTGCCTCCGGGGTGGAGGACGGGTGGAGCGGAACTTGCCGCCCCAGGTTACTTCTTGTGGCCGCCTCCCGCTCCGCCTCCGCCAGACTTTTTGGCTTCGGCGTCTCTCTCCTCCGTGTACAACCGAGTGTTCTTCATGATCACCGCCTTTGTCTTCTGCTCCTGGGCGACCCACTCGTCGAACTTGCTGGTGACCACTCCCCCCGTCTCGTCGAGAGCCGAGGCCAGCATGTCCTCCAAGCCCGAGTAATTGGGATGCTTCGGGTCGCGCCGAATGGCACGCTGCATCTGCACGATCCTCCTCGCTATGAGCTCGGCCCCCGCCAGATTCGTGACATCGACCTGGTCGTACTCGATGAGGTGCCGCAAGGCCTCGAGCAGAAGACGGATCTCGTGCGCCGCGGCGCTGCCGGGCGGCACCCCGCTGCTGGTGACGTAGTGGTTCGCGTAGCCCGCGATGCCCAGCCCCGAGGCGCGCACGCTGTCCAAGAACTCGGGCAACGACTTCGGCCCGCGGAAGACCCAGTCGCTGACGTCCTGCGGGCGGTGCGCCTCGATGGCCTGATCTAAAGTCGCTCGTCGAGGCCCACCTGGTCCCACCCGTCGGACGGGACACACCCGTGGATCTCGACCGGGCCCCGAGTGCTTCTCGTCCAGCCACAGCTGGTGTCGCTCCTCCGGCACGTTCTCGCAAGCCGTGAAGATCCCGTCCTCGTCGTTCCCGTCCAGCATCGCCAAGGCCACCGCCCCACGGCGCACGAACCTGTCCTCGGCCCCGCTGATCGCCGCGTCGATGACCTGCC